CTCCTCTGTCTCCCCAGTAAATAACTGGTCTCTAATCACTAGATTTGAAATTTACTCCTTTGCCTATTACTTTATCTGTCTGGTATTAAAAAGGCCCGATAGCCTGTGATTCATTTATTCCTATCCTCTGTAATGGAAGATGCTTCCTGCTACCTTAACCCTGGGGACCCTGGCACTTAAGAGAGATGCTTTAACTTCCTAACAGCAGGAAGACAGGCCCTTGGCAGACTCTGGGGGCCTCTCTGCAGACTCTGCTGCATACCCCCTTCCACTCAATCCACTGCTCCATTTTGCATGCTGTAGTGAGAATTCAATAAAACTATAGGTCAAGTGTCGAAGGTCATTCCCAGAAGCTGAGAACAAAGAGGTTTTCATCATCTTGTCCTCGGCCCTGATAAATTATCACCAGCTTAAGTGCCATGGTGAGAATTGGTCTAGAAGTGTTCCAAAATTTCCTGTTCCATTTTATTTTTCCATTTCCAAAAAGTAAAAATTTACAGTTAATTTTGCAATGGTGTAAAGTTAGGCAAGTGTTCCAAGCTTCATAGAAAGATAAAAACCAAATTTGCAACAATTCTTTCTCACTAAATATTTAATGAATGAATGAATGAACACCACAAAACTGCTGTAGCATCATACCTCAGACCTGTAGTCAAGAATCTCAAGATTTTAATTTTAGCCTGGCCATTGGATCTCAATAAGTAGGTATTGAACAGCTTTGCCTCATTTCCTATGAGAAATGCTACTAAAATATAGACTCATTTATAAAACAATATGAAGTGCATTTTGTGATTAAATTGTAACATTAACAGTTCTGTATAGGTTTTAAGTGCACAATAAATAAATGAGTGCTACAATTTAGTGTTTGTTCTTTTAATGTATGCTTTCAGTAATTACTTTCATTTCCATTACTGGCTAAGCGGCACTTAGAGATACTTCTGTCTAGACAAAAGGATGAAGACCCTGCTTGACAACGGAGCCATTATTCTGATGTGACTATGCAATTCAAAGATTAGGGACAACAGAGCTATAATGGCAATGTCTAATTTCAATCACCAATTAATGTCATGAAAAACAGAACTTCTATTTTGAAATATTTAAAAAGTGTTTTCTGTATCTCTTTGGTCACTAAATATCACATATGCCCTTTCCCCTTATCATGTATTTGTGCAGACAGTTTCTATAAACAAAAGTTTGACAGAAACCAAAAGCCAACAATAAGAGTGAACCATACATCAATTTATTGGCATTGTCAATTTATGAACAAGACAGTTTTTTTTTCATGAAGTGAGATGATTTTAATTTGCCATAATATGTGCCCACACTTCGTCACCTTGAAAATGTAGCATTTCAAGCTTTAGTCAGGGTCTAGGAGGAAAAAAGAAAATGCAACAGTTGCCATCCAGTTCTGTATCTTTTCTTAAACATCCAACACAAATATCAGAAAGGACCTTCACACAGTGAACTGTCAATGTTTAACTGTGGCTGCAAATCCCTTTGCAGGTGCAATCCCTGGATAACTTTAAGAGTGCAGGGCCTCACCCAACTGGCACTCCCCAATAAATAAATCTAACACTTGCCTAGGAAGAAAGGAACTACTTTGCCTTTAAAAGACATCAATATCCCTGGTGCTGATGGAGAGGGTCCTCACTGCTAAGCAGAACAGAACTTATTGACCCCAAGGACACAGCAAAGTCACAGGAGTCAGATGCAGTGTCTGACACAGCATTACTATATAGACTAAGAGAGATTCTTAGGTCTCCTATGGACTTAGGAGATTAGACAGCCCCTAAAAAAGGACTCAATTCAAAACAACACATTTCTAGACTCTTAATATCTACCAATTCAAAATCAGAATGAAAAGTGCTTAGGGGAGACAGCTCCATCAAGTGAACTGCTCGTATCCATGAGCTGCCAAAGGGTTAATGTCTACCACACTTCTATGCTACAGTGTGTCTGCAGCTTTTTAAAAGCAAAACAAGAAAATTCAATCTGAAAAACACTGCTCTGATAATTTGCCTTATCTTTGAAATAACAATGTCAAGAAAGTAGCTGAGAGATCAAATCACTTTTATAGTTTGGAGTACAAACGTCTGAACTTATCAACTGTACAGAACTGTCTTTTTATTGCATAAGAATGAAACTTTACATCACCAACATCTTTGCAGAACTAAAATGAACCAAACAGTCTGAAAGCATAATAAATTCAGCAAAACAGTATTCACTGCAGGGTCTTGCAGATTTTACTGCTCGGTAAAACAGCAGGACCCTTGCTGTACTTGAAGTCCTTATGTTCAGGAAATGGTGATTTGTGAGGACATTAGCAGATGTGGGGGAAATAAAAACGCAAAGAGCTGTAATTTTTCATGCTCCTGAACTGTTACATAACTCCAATAGCAATTAGAAAAGTGAGGAGTTTATCCTCCAAATTATTTGATTTTGTGCAGACAAATGAAACAGGTTTAATTAAAATAAGATGGCTTTCTACCTAAGCATTGCTAAATGAACTGAAAATCAATATGCCAATTACTTCTGCTTGTCAGGGCCCAAAAGGACATCCTTTTATCATGCCACAGTACTTCTACACCCTGTATATTTTAAATTATTACCCCAATAACTAACTTTGAAATGAGCTGACTAAAAAAATGAACAGAAGCCCAAACTAGAATTAGTTTGATTTTTATGTGGCTCTAAAAATTTAAGATGCAACTCTTCTTCTAAATAAATCCATAACTTACTGATTATTCCTTTTTTACTTTCACAATTTTTATGCTGCTGCCAGAAGTCTTCTCCGCATTTGCTTTGAATTCTGCCTTCAGTGCATCCCTCACTGCTTTTGCACAGATCTGAGAGAATCGGATGTAGCTGGGAGAAAATGAGAGAAGATATGTTAATTATCAATAATCCTGCCCGACAGCTGTGTTACTGTGTTTTTGGTTTCTTTCGTATACTTTTAATTTTGGTTTAGTTGGACATTATTGCAGAATTGGCTTTAAAACTAATTTCAAAGGAAACCTCTACACACAAAAAAAGAAAGAAATGTACCAAAAGAGCAACTGATTTTTTGGTTCATTGATCATGATTTTAACTTACAGTAAAAGGGGCATAAATATATATATTTTTTAAAATCCCACAACACGATGGCGGGGGTGACACTCATGTCTTAGAACTTGTTTTTAGGAGTCAGAGTTCCAATGCCTGCTTCTACTTCTACTAACTGGGTGACTTGTAGGCTGTTTGACTTGCAAACAAACAACCAACCAAAAATCAGACCAAAATGTTTTTGGAGGATACAACACAATGATTTTCCCATTTTACTTAAAACCTGTTTAACTGTATTATTCTTACAAGATAAGGTATTTATAATTAACAGAGAAAAAAACTATCTTAAACCCAAACAGCTCTTTCTCTGATAAATATTTAAAGGCTTTCCTGAGAATAGTAGACTGTCTCTCACAAGCCTGTCATTGAAAATATCTCCTAATCCGGGTTTTTAAATTATGAAAAGTCCTCAGAGAACACCATCAATTCTAGCAGAATATCTAAATAACTGCTCCCTGTTTGGTAGCTGGATTTCTAGCAACATCTTATTTTCCCAAAAGATGGTCACTTTTCACACTTTTTTTGAAAACAGGAAGTGGATGGTGGTAGCTACTGCTCAGGTCTTAGAACTTGTTTTTAGGAGTCAGAGGTAAAGAGTTCCAATTCCTGCTTCCACTCCTACTAACTGGGTGACTTGCAGGCTGTTCAGCCCTTGTCAGCTTGTTTATTCACCTGTAAAAACAATAGAATAAAAGAATAATAATACCTGCCCTGAAAGGGTCTGGGTGGTACAAAGTGTTCAAAACCTTGGATCACATAGTAGGTGGTTTAATAAACGGTTTCTGTTATTGTTTTTCCAAGTTCATCATACTTTGCTTGACCTTAGCACGTCGGGGAACTCGGGCTCCTCAGTAGTTGGGGAAGTTACCACTACTCAAATCTAGCCAACTCGCAAGGTGTGTCACTAGGACCACAGGTTCCTACTGCACACCGGGCGGCAGCTGCACACTTGAACCCCCCC